AAAAAAAAGAAAAAAGAAAAGACAATTAATAGATCAATAATATATATTTTTTTTAATGCAAAAGGGTTTAGGCTTAGGAATTTTCAGTAAACCTAGATGATAAGTTGCCTTATAGTTTTATGTGAATATCGAGCTTATAGTTGATAGCTTATAACTTATGGCTGAAAAAGCTAACTTATATGATAGAAGTGTTTGGTAAAATTAACTGATAAGTTAGCTGAAATAAAATTTTCAATAGACGTATCTAAAAAGCTACCCAATAAAGCTTATGTGATAGACTCGAACTTTTTAAAAAAATCATTTTGCCAAACCGGACTTATTTGAATAAAGGAAGATTATAAGTTAATGGAATAAACTCTAAGCTAGCTTATACGCTTACCAAACAAAAAAATGAGTAATCTGTATATTTCAAATTTCTTGATTTTAAGTTGACTTCATAGCACACCCAACTTCTCACAAGCACAATGCACTAACTGGTAATATCTTAACCAAACAAAAGAAAAGATATCATGTAATAGTTGGCTTGATGAAAGGAGAATAATGAAGCCTAGATAGGGAGTGAAATCAGAGTAAAATGACCCAATTTTTTTTTATTAAAAAAAAAATTATAACTGTTTTGTTTTTTTTTTTTAAAAAAAAAAACACACACACAGGAGGATCTAAACTGGTTCCCCAATTCCCCTCCGGGTGACTCGAACTCGGGATCTGGGTTACGCCGAGCGAGGACACGCACCACTGTTTTGTTTTTTTTTAAAAAATTATAACTGTTTTGTTTGATTATGCTACATTGCTATTACAGTAAGTAGTGTTTGTGGGGTTTGATACTACATAAGATTGGGACAATCTAACCAAAATTAAGTAGAGGGCATATTGGAACTTCTGCATTAATTTTGAATGTTACATAATCAATAAATTACTATCTTTTAAACATATGAAAAAACTCACAACACAAAAATCATGTTCTATTCCCACAAAATGAATGGACCAAATCGAAAACAAATTAGCCACACACCAAGACTCGATATTTTATCCGAAAGAATTGTTTCGAAAGGAGCATGTTATGTATGAAGCAAAAACTCACGACCAGAACTCTCTGCTTTTAATCGAGCATTCTTTGTTGCTCTTGTAGTCGATGGTCCACTTTTCGAACGTGCAGTCTATGAAGTCATAGTAGCCTCCGTGGATTGTAAGTGTCCCGTTTTTCACCCTTTCTTCTATCCATGGGTAAGTGAGCAAGTTCAACAAGGACCTGTTGATTGATTCCTGGTGGAGGGGAATGGAAAACATTTAAAAACAGAAAATATTAAGAGGGTTTTAGTTGAGTGGTTCTAATTTAAAATTTTACTTATTAAACTATCTACATTTGATCAACACTTTTATATCCTACCCTTTGGGAATGATTTTAAGACTGATATCAAAATTTAACCAACAATTTAAATTTCACAAAACAGCCTCAACGGTTTGAGTTCCTTTTTTTTTTTTTAATTTAGACCAAATCTTCGGGGATTTTTTATGACACAAAGAAAAAGAACGAACCTTCTCGCAATGCTTACACTGCTGATCAAAGTCGAGGTTTGAAGCCACAGCCTTTGTTTTCGACTTGGCGGGATTCCCAACCACCACCCAGCTTTTAGTGAAGCTACTGGAGATGCGGAAAAAAAAAAACAAAGAAACAAAGAAATGTGAAAATGCTTGGATGGAGAAAAACAAATGTCTATATCGGCTAAAATCTAATAATTAACAATTAAGTTATTTAGAGATAAAGGGAAAACACACACACACACACAAATACGAACCTTGAAATTGCTTCGTCCTGCAAGCTCATCAAGGCTCTAATCCCTCCACAGCAGCTATGGCCCACAATCAGTAGATTCTCGACCTGCAAAGGTACATTTGTTTAAATGCAAAACGCACACACACACTTGAAGAGAGAAATATTTCAGCATATTTTCGGTCAGGTGCTTACTTCAAGAGAATTAACAGCAAATTCGAGGGCGGCATTTGTTTCTGAAACTCCACTCTGCATTGATGAAAATAGATTTCATTTAATCTGCTCAATATGCTTATGAATTTAAAATCGTTTTAACACAAACAATAGTAGCAACAATAACAACAGTAATGAAGAAGACAAAAGGTAAATGTACATCATGTGGGGGAACTAAGTTGGCCACGTTGCGAACCACAAAGGCTTCTCCTGGTTCGAATCCTAGAATCTTCGAGGGACAAACTCGTGAGTCTGCACAGGCAATCACCATGAACTGCCCTTCAAAATGTCAGACTTTTTCTTCCCCAATCCAATGTTCAAGTATTTTTTTTTTTTTTTTTTGAAGAAAAAATAAAAGCAACATTAAGTAGCAGTTTAGGAGTACCTTTGGTGCTTGGGCCTCAGAAAGCTTTTGGTAGTGTTCTAAGTTGCTCCTAGAACAAAACAGCACAAAATAATGAGCAATTTTGCAAAAGTAGCACTTTAACTATATAAAAATCTCGACTTTGGTTCTAATTTCACCAAAACAGGACTCATAGACAGTTAGTGAACTATATTTGCGGGACAAAAGCTGAGACGTTTATAAAGTAGTCGGTTTTCAGAGGTATATTTTGCTACTGCCTTCAAGAAACAGAACTAAAACAGTTTGTGAATTCTTACAAGTATTTATCTTTTTTGAAACTGAGAAATCTGTGTTTGAGCTCCTTGAAATGATCGGTCACCTCAAGAACTTTCTCCTTATTATCAACGACATCCTGAGCTATGCCTGAAGACTCCATTGCAACCTTCAATCTGAACCTTTGATTTCTTCTATATCCTTTACAAGCATCCGTACTGCATAAAACAGAATGTCCATTCATATAAGCATACATAATATCACAGTGAAATTCATAATATAAAATCAACATATAAGCATGTCCATTCATAAATATCGCATTGCAATTTAGTTATGCTCGGCATACGACCTCAAACTACCATTTTCGTAAATATTTTTCTCCGGAAGCTTTTAAGGACCTGTTCTCAAGTTTTAGCCAAGCATAGTCACATTTAGAAAGATCATCATTCCATTTCAAGATTTCCAAGGCTCTAAATAAAACCTTCCACAACAGATAAACAGGGGAACTCTACATATTTCATCGACAAACCTCAATTCGACACGAAAATGCGAAGAAACCGATCAAAAGATCACTACAAACGTCCAAGATCTTTAGTTTTTTCAGCCTCCTTAATAAAAATTCACAGAGATCACAGGAAAAAAGCCAGAAATATCCAAGATTTTCATCACTTAACATTAAGAAATTCATAATTCCCAAGATCACGGGCAGTACTAGAAAATATCCAAGATTAGAACTTTTTCATCACTTACTGAAAGGAATTCATAAATCTCAAGTGGGTCCGCTCAACTTCCACAGATCTCAACTTGTAACCAAAGATCTTCCACAAAATCCCCAAAAAAAAAAAAAAAA